CTCCATAAGATATCTGGTTAGTGTAAGGTTAGGTTAGGTTAGGTTAGGTTGAGATAGGGACTCATATTTCCTTTACACAACACAGTCGCTCCTTCCAAGGATATAAGTGATCAAGTCGGGCTCAAGGCCTTGTGCGTCGGTGGCACAGAGATAGAATGCTCGCCAACCACGCCTTATGTGGTTCGGCCGGGGGTTCGATCCGCGGCCACTGACGCATTCCTTCACCCCGCTAAACCAGTAATAAGACTGGTAAAGACGGAAGGTTGGTCATGAGGCTAAACATAGATACCATTGTTAAAGAAACTTCGAAGCTCTAGCTTGAAGTAGCCATATGTTTCACTGGGGACGTAAAGGAATCAAATAATAAATGAAATTTAAAAAAATCGACTTGGAGTGATTAAAACAATACGACATAAGGTATTATGCTGGCATAAAGCTCAAACAAGCCGTAGGCGAACGCAATGAACACAATTTCAATCAGTGATTGGGAAGCAGTAACGTACATATATTGATTACAATCTGACGACCATTCAAATACATGAAATTCAGACTACTTGTGATAAAAATCCCGTGGATGAAAATAGGTTCTGACGTCATAATTTCTCTATTAAATAGCACTTATTGTATAAACTGTAAGTAAATACCAAATGGTTCACATTCAAAGGAGCCAACTTTTGTATTCCCTGTTTCCGAGAGGAATATAAAGCAATCAGTAGTGTTCTCTGAGCTGGTTGGTTTAGTTGCGGGGCTTTCGTCGTCCCCCTGCTGGACAACATCCCCCTTCAGCGCAATTTTAAGCATAAACTGAACTGATTTAAATTTTTCCCATGAGTGATAGAATTGCGTCTCCCGGTAACCATCTTTACACATGTGTATTGATCATTTTCTATTGAATTGGATTTTAAACTTTCTGGTCAAACAATCTACTTTTTATTAGTTGATATATTTGGTCTATATTAACATGTTTGTTAATTGCATATTCGTTTGAGTACCAGGCTTCTAGGAATTCCCTGACTGCACTTTTGGTGTTTCCTCTGTCTAAAATTTCGACATTATCCCAATCAAATTGATGTCCATAATTATCTATATGCATTGATATGAAAGAGTATATTTGTGTTCCTGGATTCTGATTCGAAGGGGACGCCCACTTTGTTGACAGATGTAATGTCTGTTACAGTTCATACAATTTATTTTGTAAATAGTATTAATTTTATAAATATAAAGCTTCACAGTTTGAGGTATCAGTAGCATTGGTGATGTTGATTTCACGAGGTGGGTTTCCACCATCACACGTAACATTCCCTATTGCCCAGACTCACTACTATCTAGTAAACTGGAAAAAGTTGAGCTATGCGTTAGCTGGTAGTCGAACCCACGGACCTGCTCATATAAAAGATTTCAAGCAAGAATTCCATCTTAATCGATATCATTTAGAGAACCGCTAAGTGCCATGAAATACTGAATAGCTGTTTCACCCTGGTTTTGGATTCTTTAGGTAAACACACCCATGACCCCACGGGAGATATAAAGTCAGGTTACGAGGCTTGCCCAGTGACTACTCAAACACTAAGAGAGAATTTAATACCCTATGAATTCTAAGCTTTGATTACCGAAAAATTAAATGTATACATTGATTAATCCACTAATATCATACGTGTAGCATTGTTCCTAGTCACCAAGGTGAGGTGGGAGCGCATCAGTTCTGTCAAGCTTACTAATATGAGAGTACTAATAAGCCTGAAACCTGAGCCCCATACGTCCCACTAATAGCCTCTAAACAACTAGGTTCAATATTCAAATGTTTTGATCCAACCCAAAATAACCGGCCTAGTAGACAGTGCGATCTTTTACAACACTCAAGTACACAGTCAGAATAATCCATTATGGATAAGATTTTACTTTGATAAATCGCACATTGCTGTTACACAGTAATATCAACTGATGACGTTTCGAGCACAAACTATTACTGCTCATAATCATATCAAGGCACTCACTCACACAACTTTCTTGCTTCATTCATATACATGAGTGGAACTGATAATTAGACATTTGAATACAAATCAATATGGGATAATGTACATTCAAAAATAATCATACGAGTGTTATTGATCAATTACAATCAGATGGGAAACAAGATGAGTGTTTTTCTAGTCAAAACAAGTAACTTGTTAGAATGTTGTGATGTGCTTGAATTGAAACAGAATTTTGAGATTATTTATTATCCTCCTCTGATTTGACTGACTGGTGGTAATAATATCTTCCATATCTCTGCTAGTTGCTTTGAATCACTTCTATTGCATGTGTTGGATGTAGACTCAATGAACAAGGATTCAGTAATCAGTCTTTCTCGCTCTCCACCTACATAGATTACTTCTTAGAATTTTAACCCTCTCCCACCCTATTGTGTGGTTGTGTGTTAATGCATGCATTGCAATTGCTGAGCTTTTTTCTAAATTACTTATCTTCTCTGGGTCAACCATTCTTACCTTAGCTAAATTCTTATCTTCCGACAATCTGATTACCCCCCATCTACTAGTTTCACCTATATAGTTGACCTCGCTCACAGTCAATGAAGGGTATTTTGTAAATTATATTATTTTGTTTAATTGGGTCCACCGGGTCTTTTAGCCTATAGACCTTGTCTCTGAGTGAGTTTGTAGGTTTGAATTTTAATTGATCAATAACACTCGTACTATTATTTCTGAATGTGCATCATCCCATATTGATTTTTATTCAAATATGTAGTCAATTCCACTCATGTATATAAATGAAGTAAAAAGTGGTGTGAGTAACTTGATATGATTATGAGCAATAGTTTGTGCTCGAAACGTCATCAGTTAATATTACTGTACAACACTGTGTGATTTATCAAAATAAAATCTTATCCATCATGGAGTTATACTCTACCACAGTGCCCAAGTTTTATACTTATATCAGTCAGAATAATCACATGATATTTTAAGGTCATTGTATGCAGACTATCATTACTGACGGATGCCTTCATAAGACTGGACAAGTAGTCTGTGTCTATCATTTAGCTTTAAAAAAAATAAATAATCAATATCATCTCACATATGTCCGAACAAAGTTCAGACTGAATGGTTTGGAAAATTCGGCCACTGGCTATATTGATGTTTATTGTCATCAAAGTAATATTAAACCAAAACACCTACAAAATCTCAGCTTATATCCAGTAAGTAACCTAATCATAATATCTCAACATGAAGTGATATTTTTTAAAATTTTGTCATGTCAGTGAATCGGTTAAGGTAACAAATCATGTTCAGATTACTAGATTTAGTAAATGTACGAAATTGTTAAAACAGTATATGTTTACATAATAAAAATGCTTATTACATTTGTGATTGGACATTAGTCAGTAACTAGTGTAATGTGTCTAGCTCTATCGCGGTGCATCAGTATTAGATAGCTGGAGGTAATCGACAGGAAGTCTTGCTTGACCTAGATATCGTGCTAGTTGGCACTCACCAGTCAACAAGGCGTATCTGCAACCACCTTGAAGGAACTCATGTCCCTTCTGCGTCACCCAGTGAGTAATATGGTCAGAGACGTTACCACTGAGCCAGCTATTCGGACTTGCGACTCACCTCCTGTAGGACATTTGTGTCGATTCTGTTACTTCATTTACGGGTGTTAGAACCAGGTGAAATTTTTATCCTTATCTGGTATTCCTATTCAAGCTACTTTTAATTTTGATTATAGCTTGATTCCACACCGTATTTTTGGTACAAGTATGCAATTTTCAGCATGTGATATCGGTAACCCAAATTTTTCAGGCCTACCATTGATATCAGGTGTGCGTCGGAAGGTGATGGAACCCCGGACCATGTATAGTCGGCGAGAGTCCTAATCGCTGTGCCATACAAAACAATTAGAAGACATAATTTATGTGAAACGTGCAATATAACTGCGTGGACAATTCATAACTTCTTATTGTTTTGCTGAATCTCATAAAAAAAAACTAAATGCTTTAGATTTGGACTCAATTTAATGTGAAGTGCTTCTGATATGAGACGTTCTTTGGTATTTTCAAAATTTTTCTGAATGATTTCAATATTATCAACACCAGTCCTGCGGCCTTATCCTACAGTGTATATACCTGTAGTTGACAAATTCCCAGGCCTTCCCCGTTCTATCAGACTTATGTGTGGTTGAATAAACACTCTGTGGTGATGACACAGAATGAAGTGTAGTGAAGATGTACCACTTATGAACACCTATGTTTCATTCAGAACTCAAGGAATCAGTAGACACGAAAGAATAAGCTACGGAAAAGAATGCCTACATTGGCAATAAACAGTACTTTGATTTATAGACCAGTGTGAGTGGTTGCCAGGTTGTAGTGTCTTAAAGTTGTGTAGATACTTCCGTTTGACCTTCAAGAGTAAATGAAGGTAACATTAATCTACAGAATCAAATTCTGCATCTGTAAATTTGTATTTCGCATTTTACACAAGTCACTAACCAGATTTCACGTGATTTCAACTGATCAGTCGATTCTGTGTTCTGAAACAAAACAGAATATACCACTGTTGTGTTCCACCCCAGATGAATGTAAAGAGCATCTGGTGTTTAGATGACATTGATCTATCTGGCAAGCACTACTGGTTGACGTGAGTGATTTTCGATTATAGTGATTATAAATATATCTAAATATGATACCATAGTTTTCCACCAATCAAACCTTTAAATAAAATTCTTTAAGTAATTTTAAATTAACACTAAAAGATCACGATGTGACTTCGTTTGAGTAACACTGAAAGCCAGCAGGCAGTCCGTGAGGACTCTTCATCAGTACGCACTGATGACCCCACTAGGGATGAAACCTCATGAATTACGATGGGTCACAAAAAGAGCTTGTAGACTATTCCAGTCACTGGGATGAAATTCAATGGCCCATAAATTCTAACTTCTAGAATGGGTGCATACTGACGAAGAGTTCCAAACAAGGACGAAACAACAAAAACCCTGTTACTTACCTTCTACATGACTAAATGTTGGACCAACAGGTAATTTAAAATCGACTGGATGATATCCTGTTGTAATTGTCGATGAATGTATAGATTGTACAGATTGTACATTTACGTGTTGAACTCTTTGTTCTTGTAATGTCTGTTGGAGAAATAAAGTTATATACATTTGTCATTAAATGTTCTGTCAAGTATTTTTTTTTCAATTAGATCAATTCATAAAAAAAGAAGGATTCTTATTGTCTCTTTCTCATTGCATTTCATCAAGTTATATATAAAGGTTGAAAGGTAAATCAATATTTCTGAGTTTGATTGTATCTGATGTGCATAGGGATTTTTGTCACTAAACTGACCAACTGTAGTACATTTTAAGCTTAAATCACTTCAGTTTTTTCAATTGTCCACAGGTAGTTTTTCTTCATTGCTTTGCTTTCCAGTTGGAACATGAGGGTTGAGAAGCAGTGCTTCTATTTTACAGGGTGATATTGCTAGTCACACACACTGACAATCTTCGCGTTTTACTAGGCTTATTACCGGCTTAAGAGGTTTAAGAGTGTGTCGGTCGGGAATCGAACCCGAGTCAGGCATGCGATTGCCGAATATTCTACCAGTGAACCACAGATGTGCATACAACAAAGCGTTATCCACTAGTCCATTTGGGTCACATACAGATTGATATACATGTTGACCTTGAACACAGTGGTAGCATGTAATTACACGGAAATTTGTTTGATTGGATATGTCACACAGTCGTAAAACGGTATTATTTACAGGGTGACGTCTGGAAGACAGCTGAATGTTTATAACTATATTATTATTTTCCGGATGTCTGTAACAAGTGTGCTGAATCATGGACTTTCAGTTGATTCGATAAATTATAATAAGATTCGGTTAGCAATCTTGCCCTCCACTCAACCAAATGCAGTATAAGTAGATTTTAAAACTTCCAGCCAATTCCATCCTATTGCATGGTTGTGTGTGTGTGATTGTATGAAGACTGCTACGGTTGAATTTCCTTCGAGATTTCTTATTTTATTAGGGTCTACGAGTTTAGGTTTCGCTAAGCTTTCATGCTCTACAAATCTAAGTGATCTATGTAGTTAACATCATTCAAAGGCATCACGATCTTGTAGCCGAAATAATTTGGTTCTAAGTGAGTTAGTGCTTTCGAATTCCACTTATTTCCCTGCCTTGTTGACAATCCTGCATAGGGTTTCAGGGGTTCCCTCGTTATCTGACAGTGCTACTGATGTTTTAAATGCCTTCTTCTTGGTGTTGGTGAAACATTGCTCGCCTTCTGTTGAAGTGTTCCCTTTCATGCTAGACAAGAAAGATGTTTTGCATGAACCTACATCTGTTTCGTCCCAGTTAGGATGTCTTCATGACCATGGAATTACAATACAAGGACCTTATTACTCTTCAACCTCTTGATCGAAATTCATTAACAGATGGATTCTAAATTAACAATACCTAGACAAATGGTTTAAATATACGATGATATATATATATATACTGTTTGGCTGATATAAGTAGTTGGATGCCATTCATCTCATTCAGTAGTGGTTACAAGTTATACTTGCAAAGCATACTGAACCTGATTGTTTAGATAGTTTCGTAGACGAGCATGAATGACTAATGACTGTCAAGTGAAACGTAGATTAGCAGCTCTGTTGAAACACTTCTCCAATTTCAGTATTATACTTACTGAAAGAGATAATCTGTCTATAAATTATGTTATCCTACTGCCCAACAAAAATGCAGAAATTAATGGAGATCGAATCGATATAAGTTAAGAAAATCGTTGAACTACATCACCCGACAGATCCACTGTCGAGTGAAACCTAAATGGTAAGCGACGAATCAAGCATTGGTATAAGGGGGTGGGGGGAAATAAAAGCCTATCGACAGTTGTGGAAGCAGCTAAGAAAAAATACTTTCGAGAACAGAGTGGAATAGAGATGGTCTTATGAAGCCCCCTGTTTTTCAGATGGAACCCAGACGAAAAATAACCATAAAAACTTTAATTCTCATTCGTCATTCGGTTGAACTGTGGCTTGAGCAAGAAGAACTACTATCATTTATCATGGTATGCATCAGTCAGAGATCTACCAAACAAAACAACATCATTGAAATGAACAGTGATGAACCATGAAAAATCAATATAATCTCTAAAATACATTTTAAACTTACGCTTATATCATTGACCAACTCCTCTGGACTAACAGCCTAAAATTAATAATTAAAAAGAAAATAACAAACATAAAATAAGCCAGTGTTATTTGTAAATGGTTTACAATTGGTTAAAAACAGACAAATGCTTATACATCTTTCCAAAAATATCCTAAACAGTTCAGTCAACCTTCTGTCTATGTGTCCCAGGTTCGAATCTCTGAGTATCTGCTTAGTACCGCAAGTATTCACAAGAAAACATGGATGATTTATAGCCTAACCAGTTGCGTAATAAGAAAGAACTCACTCACACATACACACGCGCTTGAATTTTCGATATTGCATCATGATCTGTTGTGTGAACTGGTGATTACTAATCATATTCAACGATGATTTTGCTGACGGTCTTAAACTCGACTATGAATGGCGTAGTGAAGAGGCACTATAGTAAGTAAGAATAAATAAATTATCTAGTTGAGGTTCATCTGTGTTGGAAACTCGCTTCAGTCGTGTGAATACTTTTTTCACTGTTTTCATTCTGTTAGCTATCCATCCATACATGATCTTCATACACATTCAACTCCAGGAATAATGCAATTACACTGAATGTGAAACTTCATTTATTATTAGTGGGGTTATACAGACTTACAACTACTTACTGATAGAGACTTAAGTGCTTAGTATAAAGCTATCAGTGGTGGACAGAGGGATTTAGACAACCCAAAGACATCGATTTTCTTTGGTTGGAGGATTTTATCATGAGCTGACATCAGCTACAGAGCCATTTCAAAACCAGCTGGTAGTACTGCAAGACATCTGTTTCCTTCATCCTAGTTTCACTCTTCAGCAGTACATCCTCACCATGATGGTTCGAATCCAGGACCTTCTGGCTACAAGGCGAGCTAGCTAGTAGACCATTAAGCCACTGGGACCCGATCCAATGGCCCACTACTGCCAACTGCATTCTCACATGAATGTTTGTTAACACGGAAATTTAAAACTAATCTTTTCGATTAATTTTGGAAGCTCTTCACTGTGATATTTGGACAGTATTGTGTCAAAAATGTGTATATATGTTCGTGCAATTGAAACTATCGAAATTCCGATTTCTTTTTCGTCAATACTTGACCTAATTTTTAAGAACTGATTGAAATAACAAAGTAGAACTTTGCACAGAAGTGCGTCATTTCACTTCACCACACTCCAAATAGAACACAAAGATAGAGAACAAATTCAAAAGAATAATCATAACGGGGAGAAACGTATGGAAGAATAAGAGGGATTAATGAATTTAGGGATATCAGTGTGACTGAAGAGGCAGCGAAGACAGGACTGCAGGTGAACATAGACAAGACGGAGGTTATGAAGATGACCAACAAACCGCAACAAAAACAGCCAGCACCAATCACCATCAACAGCAGAAATTTAACAGAGGTTAAATCCTTCACTTATCCAGCCAGGAAGCATCTTTCCAACCACAGATGGCAAAACGGATGAAGCCAGCCAGCCAGAATCGGAAAGGCAAGATACGCACACCTTCATCAACCTGAAACCAGCTTGGAAATCTTCTACACTCAGCTACATAAGGAACAAGATTCTCATTTTCAATACCAATATCAAGTCGGTCCTTCTACACGGGTCAGAAACGCGCACTACGTGTGAGTCAGGAAAAGGATTTCCAACAGGCCACTGCAGATTTTTATTAACCGCTGCCTTCACTGGCTATATACTGAAGGTCAAATGGCCAGCCGACCAGAAAGAATAAGTAACAAGAAACTGTGGGAACAAACCACCCAAGAGCCGATCACTCAGCAAACATGTAGGAGAAAATGGAGATAGATTGATCAGGCATACGTTGAGGAGGCCGTTGAATGACATCGCGCATCAGGCCACTGCTCGAGTGGAATCCAAATGACAAGCGACGAGTGGGTCGTCAATGCCAGGGCGACATGGATGAGACCGTGTGAAGAAGAGATGAGAGAGTTTGGGCTATCGGTGACCCAGCTGAAGAGAACGGCAGAAAATAGAACGAAGCGGAAAAATGTTGTTGAAGCCCTATGATGTTCCACTTGGAACCCAAAGGAATAATAATAATAATAGTATCTTTTGAATATTCGAGGATCATAAACAGACTTACTTTTTGATTAAATCTTCCATTTGGTATAAGTTCTCCACCAAATCGTATTTCAACTAAATAATCTCCTCGAATCGGTGGTGTATAATAAATATTGACACGACCATTTGGTGCTTCATGAATTTCCACATCAGCTGTTGCACCAGACGGTGTAACAATACGACAAGTCAATTGGCCAACACCAGCTTGAGCTGTATTCACAGAGATAACACATTCTTGACCAACTGGTACTCGGCTGTCATTTCCACCTTTAATTTACATTATAAAGAATAAGGATAATAATAATATGTTATTCTTTAATTATTACACAATTTGGATACATATTAGTACAAGGTGATATAGCGTTAATTACTGGTTGATATTTCAAACGGCATTTGTCGTTCATAATTACAACAATTTATATATATACACCACAATACTACTAAATTTGCTTTATATAGCCTTACTTCTTCATATGTATGTGGTATTGGGATTGCGTCATGTCGATTCCATATAATTGGTGTTGACAGAGTGTACAAAAATTCAGTGATTAACCTTTCTTTCTATCAATCTCTCCCTCTCTCCCTCTACGCAAATATGTGATTATATGTAAGTGAATGTATGACAATGGCCAGGCTTTTTTCTAGATTACTAAATTAGGTCAATCACTGTAGATCTAATCAATATTTGCATACACCTTGGGCATTGTGGTATTGATTAATTCAATATCAACTTATAGATTATGGGATAGGTGGGGATTTGGATTTATTTTTACATGTTTACATGTTACACTTCGTCGCGAATAAAAACACCAGTTACAGAAAAAAAGGGAGCACTGAACGGCTGTTTCTTCTTATTTAAGGACTCTTCAGCAGTGTGCATCCACAAACCCACTGGTGATCTAACCCAAAACCTAAAGTTTACGAGACCAAGGCAGTTAGTCAATCACCCACTCGGACAGGGATTCAATGACTACCGAAGACTAACCTTGTCAACTTGTGATATAGTGCTAGTGTAAAGAAGAAAGCGCTGATGAGGCTCGAAGGCAATGTTTATTAGGACGAACACAATGTAGGTACATAAATTTTGGAATACCAATATCTTTAAGTCTTTATTGGCACATCATTTGCAAATTGGTCGAATATCACCCCTATTCGATAGCTTTTGGATTCTGCACAGTGTTGTGACGTTCTGCTCACAGTTCTCTTCTTCGATTGCTTTCTTCCAGTGCCTAAAACATATTGTTACTTTTCTGAATGCGTTTGCTGATATACTACTTATTTATGAGTATAAGTAGCACACATTACACAACCGTCACAAATGCCTTCAATGAGCATTCGCTTCACCTTACACGGTGGATCCCACTGGTCACGACTTATCAGTACAGCTTCAGGACGTCTATGTAGTAGCACTGATGAAGAGTCCTGAACCAGGACAAAATCTAACAGTTTGTTTTCGGGATTTATTACATAGTGAGTAAAGAAAAGAGTGTTATTTAGAGGATGAAAAGGCTTCGAACACGATTTATTGATCACAGCAATATCATAGACTGTAACTGCACAACTTCATTCCTCCTTTGCATTTGTTATATTATTATTATTGTTTCCTTTAATTCCTACAGGAACATAGAGCTTCAGCTGCACGTCTCCATTGCGTTCGCTTCTCTGCTAGAGTTTTCACCTGGCTCCAAGTCTGTCCACATGCTTTCATCTCCTCTTCACATGACGTCCTCCATGTCACCCTCACATTGACGACCAACTCGCCACTTCCTGTTCGGGTTCCACTCGAGCAATGGCTTGTCTAGTGATGTCACTTGATGGTTTCCTCAGAATATGGCAAATCCACCTAACTCCATTTCTTCCTGCTTATTTTTTGCACAATCGGTTCCTGGTTGGTTCGCTCCCAGAGATCCCTCCCTGTTGTTGATCTTTTCTGGTCGGCCATCTGGTTTTGAGTATTGAGCGAAGACAACTGTTAATGAAGATCTGTAGTTTGTTTGAGATGCTCTTTATGACGCGCCAAGTCTCCGGATCTTATATTTGACGCTGAATTCTGTTGACCTCCACACAGACTTGAGAGTAATGAAAGCTTGCCTTGCTTTCCCGATCCTCGCTTTGATATCCTCGTCAGTTCCGTCTGCCTGTAGTTGAAACGATGCTTCCCATTTATACTAGCTGATTGTTGTCTGTTGCTGTTGCCGCTGTTGGTGTTGGCCAGGAATCTTCATCACCTCTGTTTTCATTATGTTCACATGATGGCCTATCTTTGATGCTTCCTCTGCCAACTTGTTGCTTTTCACTTGCATATCTTCCAGTTTGTGGGAAATCAGACATATATCATCGGCGAAGTCAAGATCCTCCAAGTATTTTGTGAAGGTCCATTTTATGCCTGTTTCCTCGCTGCCCACCGCTGTTTGTCGCATTATCCAATCTACTGCAATCATGAAAATCATTGGTGATAGTAGGCAGCCTTGCCTTACTCCCGTCTTCACTTCGAAGGATTCCGTAAGTTTTCCGTTGTGGATTACTTGGCATGCAGCATTGTCGTACAACTGTTGGTGGCACCCCGTAGTAGCGAAGTAGTTGTTATAAGGGTGGTAGAATTTTCCAGATGTCATCGTGTAGGAATCTTAAAAAGGCAGGGTTAAAACTGGTATTAACACTCACCTATAAAGTAACTTAGAAACGAATAATTTAGGTTGAAGTATCCTGTGGAGTCCATTAGGACAAAATAATTTACTTAATCTATCTAATGCCCTATGTTCCTCTAGGAACTAAAGGAAATAATAATAATAATCTATCTAATACCTTGCTATAAGTGTAAGATTTATTTAATATTTAGGTTAAGATAGTCCAGGGATCAATCACACATCAACCGACGGAGCAGAAACTTAACAAAATCTATCCGGCCAGTAAGTACTGATGGAGTGCGACCGCACCGATGACGTTGAAACACCCAGCGAGTAAGTTAATGAAACCCGGCACATAATATTGTAGTTGTGACTAAAATATGCTTTTTTTATTCCTTCACGTTCCCAGTCGAACATAGAGCTTCAAGCTAGAGGCTTGAAGTTTCTGTAGCAGTGTTTATTTTTACAGGATGGGGTTGCTAGCCTCATGCCCAACCTTTCCTCTTTACCAGCTTTTATTTCTGGCTTAGTGAGGTAAAGGAGTGCATCGGCCGGGGATCGAACCCCGGACCATGTGCATGGTCGGCGAGCGTCCTAACCGCTATGCCACCAACGCATGAAATATCCTTAATGAAGTGTTATTTTATTAAATGGGATATCTGGCAAGTTTCAGGTTAGGTTTGGGGGAAAGAATAAATTAAGGGCAGGTTAGGGTTAGGTTAACTTAATAAGGGCGACATTAGGGTTGGTTCGAGTTATTTTTAACGTTAGGGTTAGGTTAAGGAAGGATTAGGGTTATTGTTAGGGTTAGAAGACCTGGTGGTTAAATTACTCTGTTGATACTCCAATCTGAAAACTGAGAGATATTTTTGTCACACGTCAGACAAAGGCATCCTGTGTAACAGTTTCATGCCGTTTAGTTCATTATTCTCAAGAACATACGTAATTTATATGCAAAAGTCGCCTTTATCATGTGGCTGGTGCGTTCAAGGCTATTCGTCCATTGGTACTTACTGGTACTTAAAGTTTAACTTTGTCATCTATCCTAGTAGACCCTTATAAATAAGATAAAAAATCTAGGAAAGAAAGCCCAGTTCTAGCACTACATGCAGTTAAACACAACCATACTATAGGAATGGGACAAAGTATCAGATTGGGTGAGTGAAGAGATTGGTAACTGAAGCTTTATTTATCGAATCATGTATAGAAATAGAAATGATTCATCACATTTCTCCCAGATGTCTAGAAAATTCTATTGCCCAATGCAACAAACTGGAAAGAAGAATGAGGACCTTAAAAATAGACTTTTACAGTTGTGTAGTTACAACTTGATATGGTTATGAACACCACATAATCCAGTCCATTGTTGACAATAGGCAGCGGCCTTGTCTTACCACACCACTGTCTTCATTTAAAAAGCTTCATTGATTTCTCCGTTGGGCTGCATCCCCGGTCGGTCGGTCGGTTTTCGACAGAGAACTTTGCATATATGTGCAGCAGTTCAATTCGCCACACTCCTTCCTTGTAGCACACGAAGCAATAGAAGAAAATAGGAGAAATGCATAATATAGACAGTAAACAGAGGTGTGAGAAAAAGGTATAGTAATAACGAAGAACAGAACAGTTTCATTGGAAATCATAAGTCACAAGGAGCGGATGCATCTGCGCAATTGAGAACGATTTTGAGCCATGACACCAATTGTTTCTAACCATTAGTTTTTACCGTCCCGAGGACCCCAACCAGTCAGGAAGTCTACACCTTCCTACGTGGCTTAGACTAACTGTTGTAGATTTCACTGACTGGTGCCATGTTTTCGCTAGCTCTTTTCTAGCCTGACCCTATATCAGCTAACATTGCCTGTCAGGGAAGGCGATGACTGAGCATACGTAACACATGTCCTAACCATCTCAGTCGATGTAATTTCACAGCCTCGTCGACTGATTTCCTCTCCCGCCTACCTAGCACTCGACGCCTAACCTCAATATTGCTCACCTTATTATACCACTTCACGCGGGAGATAGAACGCGGACACCTATGATCGAAGACAGCTAATCTTTTCATGTCTTCTTCTCTCAATGGCCAGGTCTCACAGCCATAAAGGAGGACGGAGCGGACTGCTGAGCAGCAGTACACACGCCCTTTGATCGATAGCCAGGCGGATATCACGTCTACGCCAGAGACGGCGTAAACTGGCATATGCGAAACTAGCCCTCTTTATTCGCACTGCATCCCCAAGGCGGCGTGATGCTATTCTCTCTGAGATTTACACCTAGCACCCATGTAGGCGGAAAATTCAAAATAAATCGAACGTATAGTACGTTTGTCCGTTAAATATTCTCTATCCTTTAAGATTGATTTTTGGTATTGTTATTACTGCCGTATTAGTATTCTATGCACAGTCTTAACGCTCCGTATATTTGAATGAGGGAGAAATGTACACATTTATGCACTACACGTTTGAAATAAATCAATAAATATGCTAACAGAAATTAATAGATTTCAGGTAGGGCTGACTAGTAAAGCATACTACCTTGTACAAAGACACACAGGTGTATGACACAGACACACCTACGCAGTAAATTTCTGCTTTCTGATTGGATGAATAATTAGGGGTTGCGAGTGTGTGTGTATGTATTGGATGATGTGTACATCGTCAATAAACAATAACAGCATGTGATTTATATGATACTATTTTAGGCAGTTGGTAAAATGCTTCTCTTTTTCGTTACTTGGATATAAGCCAAGAAAAGGTTATAAACAAGCAAAAAGCATAAAAAATGAAATCATAGGCATAAATTAAAAAAAGAGGAAAACTGGAAATGCCTCTCACTTAATGTTTGTGTTATGTGAACAGTGAAAGAAGAAAGGAAGACCTTTTGTTAGGAAAAATGTATAGATACGAAAAAGGATGTGTTAATTCCATCAAAGGATTAAAAGACATTTACAACAAAAGAAATTTGTATGATTGATGAAGATCACTTTGAATAAGAATTTTAAAATATTGGACTTGGATTTTAGCTAGTTAGTGGTTTTGAAGGCGGCCTGGACTTAAGCTTCGTGTTTATTGACACTCTTGTTTAGCACACTTCGAGCTACTGATGTTCCCAGTGTGTATCGAAATCTCGCCACTCAGTGCTCCAGTTAGTAGTAACGTTACAATAGCACTATACAACCTCAGAGGTAATATCTCTGACTGAAGCATTTGATGATGTTGTAACGGCAGAAGACAAGAGTCAGGCAACAGATCGTTTATTGAGAAAATCAACAGATATTTATTGATTTTTATGTACATTATTGCCAGTGAAGAAGCAACGACTTCTGATTGGTTGTTTTCCTGCTGGAGGTTATTCTGTCATCTCTTTGTGGCCGTTTTTTAGAAAGTCAGGCCATATATCTGTGAATCGTATTTGCACACGTTAAGTCTGCTGTGATTGGTTATTGAGTTCCTCAAGGTTAGGCTTTGTTATTGCTTTTTCTCATGACCCCGATTCGGGACGTAAAAGTTGACGTAAATTGTTGTCTACAATTTAGGCTAGCAAACAGCTGTCACCACAATGTGAGTTAGAAGCTCAAATGGGATGTCAGTACCTTACCGACTGCAGATATGCCTTTCTGATAAGTTCCTATAAACAACTGACCTGGGTACAGGGCTTCCTACCGATTGCCTTCAACCACTCAGTAATAAAGATAATAATAATAATAATTCAGAGTGGAACCAATACGACGGAGGTGCATCCGATTGGTGAGTCTCAGACAGGGTGAAATATCCGTTCATAATCTCATTAAACTGGACTGGATCATTCTTCCCCTACTTAACTGACATAGACAACTCATTCTTCGACAGATCATCCGTGTCAGTCCCATGCTTAGCGTGAATGCCCCATTTGACATGAGCACCTATATGCTAAGACTCCTGGTCCCATCAAATTCCGTAACCTCCTCTTCAAGTAACTAGACTGCAGGCATACACCATCATGCTATTCAAGACAAATATGGAAGGCTTGACAATTTTGCCTGTCATTCTTTTGTTGTATGGGCCATGCTCATCTTTCCAAGTTTAGTATATGTACCGCCTAAGTGAGTACCATCAGTAAGGTGTGTCTGCAGCCTATGAGATTCGAAACAACGTTACTCAGTGCTGCACTCAGAGACACTACCACTGAACAATTCAAGCTCAAGCAACCTAGTCAACGAACTAATCAAGAACGCATCAACCAAAAAATATGCTGGAATTAATGCAGATGGGGAGGACAATTGAATAACATTACGCTCCAAACCCTCCAGTGGAACGTGAATGGGATACGATGAGTTGGGCATAGGGACAAGAGTGACATACAGGAAATCGTTTAAGGAGGAGAGGAAAGCTTATGGACGAACAAGAAGCCAGATAAGAAATGACTTCAGAGAAAAGGACAAAATAGAGATTTGCTGCTAAAGCTCTATGTTTCACTTGGAAACCAAGGAAATAAAAAAATAATATTCATACATTAAACTGATTTAATTTCTCTGTAAACAAAATGAAATTAAATCTTGCTTACTTTCTATACGACACATATTAGCTCGTCCAGATGGAGCAACTGGTACTAAAAATGGACTTTCAGGTATTTCTTGTCCACCGTATTTCACACGTACAGTATGTCGTCCAACAATCATTGGTGTATAATGGCATATGTATGTTCCATCACCAACATCAACAACTTCTAATTGTAATGGTTGACCATCAGGATCCTAGAAGAATAAATCAATATGTTAGGTGAGATAGATCATTTATGTGAATGCTGTGATATGCATGCAGATGTGTTTACGAAGACAACAATGATAATTACAACGTCAATAATTATAATGACAACAAAAGGTATACTATCGTACACAACAGACACGAAAAGTGTGGGTGATTTACACACTGACTGTCTTTTGATGAACAGTTATCCTTCATTTCTCCGTAGATTCCATCACGAGTTGACACTAGTTCCAGATGCACTGGAAACCAGATTGAGCTGGGCAGCTGTTTCATCCTGATTTCGGGACTCTTCAGCACTTTACACAGATGTCCTCACTAGCGATTGAATCTATGAGCTTCAGGTTACGAGAGAAGTCCGTTTGTAACGACAGAAGGCAAGGGCCAGGCAACATGTCGTTAATTGAGAAAATCAAGAGATATTTATAGATTTTTATGTACATTATTGTCAGCGGAGAAACAACGTCTTCTGATTGGTTGTTTTCTTGCTGAAGGTTATTCTGTACTGCTTGTGACCGTTTCTCAGAAAGTTAAGCCATATATCTGCGAATCGTATTTGTACACGTTAAGTCTGGTGTGATTGATTGATAAGTTCCTCAAGGTTAAGCTCTGTTATTGTATTTTTTCTCATGACCCCGATTCGGGATGTAACATTGACGTAAATTGCTGTCTACAATTTTTGGCTTGTAGCCAGCCCTTGCCACACGTTGACCTTCTAGTCAAGGGGCTGAAAATCTACTGACCAGTGAATTCGAATTTCTCTCAAAGTGTGTGATATTATAGCACTGCCAACTAAAGTCAATCCTTTGTATATAGTCTCAGATGTTCATTGGTTCAAGAGTTTCAGTGAATCTTTAAATGAAGCCTTTTCGTGAAGAAGTCTGCATTGAAATCTCTCTAAGGTGTTACGTAAGTGTGGACGAAAAACTGAGACTAGCAGCGGTCATAATCAATATATGAATATCTGCTCCTGCGTGCATATATATTTTTAGTTGTATATCAATATAATATCTGAAACACTCATTACAACACCGATAAATTCACAAAATAACACAGAGTAAAATGACAACAGAAACAGTGAGCAGGTTAACTTAAAAAAACGACAACAAAAACGGTTAAAGATCTGACAAGATCTCCACTATTTTAAGAAGTGTGAAATATAGAAACTGTGGTAAGACAACGTCAACTCAATACAGTTAATCATAAAATTATTATCAGAATCAGTTAGTTAATAGGTGGAAAGCAAACAAATGTGCACCGGTGGTACAGCGGTTGAATGCTCGCCGAGCACGCCTCATCTGGTTCGGGTTGCGATCCCCGGCCACCGACACAATCCTTTACATCGCTAAACCAGTAATAAGACTGGTTAAGAGGGAAGGTTGGGCATGAGGCTAGCAACCCCATCCCGTAAAAATAAACACCACCCTGTTTTCCACTGGGAACGTGAAGGAATAAAAAACAACAAAAGACAAATGTTCCAGAATGGAACTTCTTCCTTCCTCTCATCGCCGCCACCTATTCCTCCCCGGCTTTCCATAAAATGATGCTGAAATACTGCTATTATATCCAAGTGGAATGCATCTTATAATTATCTTCACTTTGAATAATTCTCAGTGGTATTTTATTCGACCTATTTTAATCACTTGAAATGCTTAGTTTTGCGTTAAACAACACTCATTTTCCCAACTTGTCCCAACCTGTTATGTGATCTTTTTACTCTCCGATAAACTTATACACTTGACACCGATTTCTATGATGTATTAACATTCTATGAGGCACTTTACATATTACACAACCTATTTTGTTATCTCTCAGTATTTATTTATTATGATTATTATTCGCAAATGTTTCTTTTTATATTAACTAACGCTATCACTAATTTCTTTAAATTCCCTCAGGGAATACAGATGATTGAAGCTGGGAGAAACAGCCTAACTTTTAAAAGAATAAAGAGTTCACACTAACCAAACTAGGTAAGAGTCTACTTTCAGACGTTATCTTGATATCGGTCTTTCACAAGAAGAAAAACCTCCTACGCCAACGTTTTTGGCGCCTTGAAAACAAGCCATTGATGGTGAATTTGATGTGCCATAGTCGTTTAGCCGATTCCCAAGATATGACCATGAATCTAAAGAGTATAATTCTGTTGAGATCACATTAAAAACCGGGTGTGCATGAAGTTGCGGTTAGGCAATCTAATAAACGCAGACAGTACCCTACATTATCATAAATAGCAGCCAATAAGATAAGGACAAATCCACACCTGGATGAAAAGGATCAAACCAGCACAGGCAAACTAGGATTGTATAACTTGCGATCAACACTGAAAACAACATACTCTTTAAGATGTCTCCCTGACGAATACCAATCCATTATCAACAACAGTTAAATAGTATGATTCATGAAATGCGCAGTAATGAATTCTTTGTAAAGAGTCTCTTCGCTGAATACTGTTTTCTTAATGTTATCATGATAATACCACAGGGCAAACTAGCTGATTATGGTCTTTATTCACAGGTGGTTTAGGTAAGCTACGAGTAAAATAACCTTAAAAAGAATTGAACACTTCTCAAACTGTTCACATTTCGATCCTAGAATTTTGAATTTGTTGGCGTGTATCACTCTTCACTTCTGTAGAATATGTGGCTGCCAGTTATCCAACAGATTCATGAATAAACTGTATTATTATTATTTGAATCAGCCTGCTTCACTCTGATTGGCTACTTGCTACAAGGTCAATATTTACATGCCCACTCACACGGTTCAATATTTAATTCAAGTGTAGGACGCAAAAAAATCAATTGCAAATAGTTCGCGATTTAAGTAGTATGAATATTTTGGCGAAAATTTGTTCTTCACAGTCATGTAGTCTAAAAATTAAGGGAACATTCGATTTAGTTTAATAGATAGATAATGATACGGTATTCTAGTGTTGAACTTTTATTCCGTCGTACAAGTGTTGGTGGTGGTCTGTTTAAATCACTGAGACGCCTAAATTTCCATCTGACCAGCATAATGTATCTACTTTTCTCTGTCTTGTTGTTGTAATAATCTTCCAGTCATGTGTTGGGACAGCAACATGAACTCATTCAAATTGCTAACTGGCTTCAAACCTACTGCTGTACAACACTTCAAGCAGAAAATGAGGGTTAAGCGTTGTAGAGATTTAAGTCTTATTCCAGATAGAATGACATCAGGAGTCACACGAGATACAGTCTGTTGATGAATATTTTTCACCTAAAGATTCAGCGCAGGGAGTCATTATGGTGCAAGAAATTACGCTGAGAATTCTATATTATGTGAAGGTGTAATTTCCAGATTAAGACCATTATTAATGATGTGTGCCAGTTGACGAATAAAAAAACCCAAACGAAACACAGAGAGCAAATTTTTACTGAGGTTTTTTAGTCACGAGTGATAGTGTCAAGATGGAATCACAAAAACTGGTTGCAACTCCATATATCTACAATTTTTGTGAATATTTACGGAGACAAAATACCCCCCACCCAAAAATAAAAACCAGTTTACAATCATCAAACATCTTTTTACATTTGTTTTACTGAAGAAAGTTGAAATCAACTGTGAACAGTAAAACATTAGGAAGGGAACGAAAAAAAAAAAACAAAAAAAAAACAAATTAAGACACTACTATACTACTGAATAAGGTAGTAAGTAATCTGTATACGTTAATATTGTTACATTGTTATTAGTGAATAGGGAACCGGCCCTTCGAAAACGAAAACAGAATACTAATTCTGCACGAATTAGGAAAACTGGATGTTTTCGCCTTTCTTATGAAAGAATAATAACTTGGGAGTAAATTTCACTAAATAAGGGAAGGCGTGATTCATCCGTCCCCTGCACTAATATATATATATTACGATGACGGATAATTCTTGTCGTCTGCTTTGTGTATACTTAAACCTGCTGTAACAGGCTCCATTTCATTCTTGAAAAAGAAAAGACAATCAATAATTCCATAGTGGAAAAAAACAAAACAAGGAATCAAGTGGAACAGAAATGATCACAACATGATCAACAACATAGGAGACACACAACAATTATATATAGATATATTGATTACCGTTCATTGTGTATGTGTAGCATGATTACGTAAGCATGGGTTATTAAAAAAAGAAGAAAGAATGGAAAGGGAAGATATCAGGCATCAGAAAATTAGTGAATGGAACAGTATTCATCCGCTACTATATGATAGTTATTTGAAATTCAGGCGTTGTTGTTGTTGTCGTTATTGTATTCTCTGAGCTAAATGGTTTAATTGTGTAGGTATTATTATCTTCCTAGGAAATATGTTCAACGCGTTGTAATTTTATTGTGAAGAGCAACAACAATGTATTGATTCTGTTGTCTATTTGATGGATAGAGTTAATGAAATATGAGCTAAATTAAGTCATTACTGGGGAATGACTCGTTTGCATTCTGGTTGGTCCTTATTCGATGGTCTCAAGCCTAATCTCTCCAAATGTCAGATTGCTGATTTTAATTACAGACACAAGCGTAATTTACATGAACTTGTTCGTTGGTATGATTTTTATACCATAGATGACACTGAATTTAAAACTAAGTCATATCTTAAATACCCTGGATTATGTTATTCCTGGTCTTTCAACATCTTCCTAATTTCTATTAAGATATTTCATCTAACCTTCTGTGTAAGGAAGTTAAGATAATTCGTTATCTCTAATGTTATGGCTTATTAGTTCATGTATTCTACCTATTCTCCTTTATTGCTCTCCTTTAATGTTTCTTGAGCTATCTAAGAAAGACTCTATTACATTGCGATGGACACTTCAGGCTGTCAGTATAACGAGTGCAGGGCGGCTAAATCAACTTGTTTCACTCATTTATTTTTTTATTATAGCTTGATTCCACACAGTATTTTGGTACAGGTATGGAATTTTCAGCGTGTAATATCGGTAGCCCAAATTTAGCACTCCGATCATTGATATCAGGTGTGCGTCGGCCGGGGGTCGAACACCGGAGCATGTGTATGATCGGCGAGCGTCCTAACCGCTGTGCTACCGACTCTGTTTTAGGTAAATACATAGACTCAAGCAAGGAATTAACGAATAGTATCTTCTCGGACGCTTTGTTTGTCATCAGATAGGACTAGAAGCAACTATAGAAGACTTTATATAGTTGGACAACTAAGTATGAAAACTCAACGACACCTTATCTGGAACGCATTTTCTGTGACGGGGAAATTGTTACACATGGAACTAGCAACTAACTTACTGCGAAATACCTGGTAAGCGGCCATTTTTATTGACATTGTTAACAATATAAATGGCCTGTTAATTATTTCATACCCGAGTCCCCTTACTAAGTAATGTAAAGAGAAAACTAAGTGGAACATTGTTCAACATGCTGACAATTCTATATTGTGTCAAATGTACTGTTTGAAGTAAGCCATTATTATTACTGTTATTATTACTATTATTATTATTCGCAGCATGAACTGAACTGTAGTCCACGCTGGCCTAATTTATATCAACGATGACTGTTCATCACTTACAGTAGAGTTTTTGCGTTTCTTCTAGAAAGTACATCATTTTTGAAAGTAAGCTCAACAAACACTAAGAAATGAAATGATTTTTTAATCTATAAAAATCCAAAAGATTGCCAACTTTTATCGACAGCTAGCTAGCCAGCTGCCTTCACTCCATACAGAAGATAAGAGGGACAAGCAGAACAAGTAAATCTAACAATCCACTGGACTAGCCAATAGTCTGTCTCCTGAAAAATGTGCAGAGGAAAATGAAGATGGATTGAAGGTACATTCAGGTTACATCACAAGCCCGACAGTCCCTCGACTTGAATCTGAATGGTAAGCGACGAGCTGGATGTCGAATGATGACATGAAGTAAATCCTATTTGAACGAAATGAAGGCTTATGGGTAGCCGTGAAGGCAGCTACGACTGATAACACAGGACCGAATCAGTCCAGAAGTGCCTCCGAAGCTCAAATGGAACTAACAGTAATTCCTTGGCATTTACTCAACTAAGTTCAAAATTTTTTTGAGCACAACCAACTCTAAACCTTTGAGTGGTCAAAGCTTAGTGTAAAATGAAAAAAGAAATTAAAAATTCACTAAGCAAAACTACACACTTCAGAAAATAAACCATCTGTGAAAATATAATGACAACATACCATTACTGATAATTCTAAATCTCCAAGTCCTGCATCTCTTGTATCTACTTGGAAAGAGGTAGGCTGAGTAGCTGGCAAACCTAATGGTCGTGTTGGATGAACACCTTCGCCGGTGACACGAACTCGTTGAGGTTCAAAAGCTGGTAAAACATGCTGCATAAATGGTGAACGTGCCACATGATTACCGCCTTGTTTCACTTCAATTTGACACGGACCATCTGTATCCGGTACATAGGTCACATCATAAACACCTGGTTGAGTTGGTCGTGGAACAATATGAGCTGGATTTGATCTACCCAGACGATCAACTGTTGCAACCTATGTTGATCAGATGTGCAAGAAAAATATTATTAAGTGAAATGAACCATGGTTTTAAAATTTGATTATCAACGCAAGATCAAAGTAATAACAAATAGTTTTTGAACACATAAAGAAAGGTTTAAGCCTTTCTATGACTGTTGCTTTGACTCAAACCTGTTTTTTAAAGTAGATTTGAAGGTACTATTGAGATGAGTTTTGCAATAAATGACGTTTGAGTTATTCGAATCAGACGATTTTATCCGTCCTCACACCCATTTAGGAATGTGTTCACCAGCACTGACCAGCAAAGATCAATGTGTCCTCCTTGTCCATATATGACCACACATTGAGATATGAATTTACTGTCAGGATTCTGTCAGTGTTTACAGGACAGCATAAATTTCGTTTTCTTTATGGAAATGAGTTCAGGTGTACAGAAAGTAATATTTGAGCATCTGCGTGGGTCTTTGTTTAACAATCAGACTATTTTGATCTCTTTTGTACGGTAGAAATATACAAAAATTCTTCGTGAGAGCTGACTGGACTGCCGTATCTCTTTGTTTGACACTTATGCAGTCTTAAATGAATTCCAGACGATAGGTATTACGCAATATTCAAGAATTCATTTGTAGGGATTTCATTTACAAGGTTCGAGGCAGTCAGCAGGAAGCCTTGCTTGACCTAGATTTCGTGCTAGTTGGCACTTACAAGTCAGCAAGGCGTATCTGCAACCACCTTGAAGGAAATGACGAGTATCAACTGGTACGAAACCTAGGTCAAGTAAGGCTTCCTGTCGATTGTCTCCATCCATCTAATGCCAGCAACTCACAATGCACAACGATCACTAGCCCCTTAGCATGATGGCCACATTGCACACTTGACTGATGTGAAAATTCACTCTGCACCAGAGATAGGACTAGACACACACATTACACTAGTTACTGACTGGTGTCCAATTACAACCAGGGATTCTATTTATTTCAAGTTTGATCTCTGATTGATATCAGATAGAGAACCATTTGAAACTGAGGAGTACTGGACAGCTTGTCGAAGTTGGAGCTCATGAGCCAGTGGTTGAATGGTCTACAAGCTTTCCTTGTAACCAGAAGGCTACAGGCTGGAACCCTGGCGGCAGATGCTTGCCGCTGAAGAATCCCGGACTAGGACGAAACAGACGTCTAGTGCTCCTTGATTTCCAGTGGTTCTCTAACTGATATCAATCCGTTATCAGCACTGTTGCCTAGCAATATTTTATTAATGTTTTTTTCTCTTCATCTTTTCAGTTCCCAGTGGGACATAGAGCTTCAGAAGCTTCACTCAGTTCTCTGTGGTACTTTTCATCTGGCTTTACGTCCGCCCATACGCTTTCATTTCCTCCTCCTCGCACGATCCCTTCCATTTCACTCTCGACCTCATCTTGAACTCATTAATTCTCATTCAGATTCCAGTGGGGAGCAGGTCTGTTATCGGTTATTGGAGGAGACCTCTTCATTTGAAATGATTGGTATAAAGTATCATCACTCACTAGGATATAGATACATTTAACTGACGAGCCGCAAAAGTGACGAAACACATTTCTCTAAGTCTGGTGTGTGCTACTGGCAAGAATTTGTAAGCAGTATATGCAGGAAGAAGGGGAGGTGGATTGGTCATACTCTGAGAAAACAAACCATCAAGTGAGTGACATCACACGCTAGGCCATCGCTCGAGTGGAACCCGAATGGGAAGTGGCGAGTTGGTCGTCAGTGCGAGGGTGACATAGAGGAGGTGAAAGCATGTGGGCAGACGTGGAGCCAGGTGAAAACGCTGGCAGAGAGGGGAACGCAATGGAGACGTGTGGCTGAAGCCCTATTTTCCTCTAGGAACTAAAGGAGATAATAGTAATAATAATAATGTATGCTGTGCCTCTCGTAAGATTACTGAATACTGGAGCGACGGATTGAATGGCAAAGGGGAGAAATAAACGATCCTTGGGAAACAATAATATAGAAAACATATGAGAGGAAGATAACAGAAACATAATAGGAAGAATATGTACAAGTGGAGAATTGAATGTAAGCTTTCTGCCCTTTACCATAACTGTATATATATATATATAATTTCTGCTAGTATATACTATTGTGGTGAGAGATGGTTGCTAGCCAAATTGGTTGACAGTAATTGAGATCAAAGGTCAAGATGGACAGGCGGATACAGTTAACATATAGATGAACTGACACAGTCACAAGAGATGCAAGGTTAACTTTGTGTGAGAAACAACCAATCAAAAGACTGTATTTTCTACTAACATTAACATACAATAATGTACATCAAAATCTATAAATATGTGTTGATTTTCCGTAATAAACGTTCTGTTGCCTGGCCCTTGTCTTCTGTTGTTACACTACCATGTTCCAGCGTTATACTACTTTCCACTACCAGTACCCAATGAATCAAGCAACTCCCTTCTAACTATAGTTAATTAACATTTAGTATTATTCAACTTTCGAATCCATCATCAACGGCTACCTTCTTACTACTCATTAAAGTAGGTGGGATAAATGCCCAGAAAAAAAATTAACACAATTTTGAAAAATAAATGTGTCATTCACAGTGTGGTGGTGTAATACAGACAGTGTGTATCAACGGAATGTTATTCTCACATGTTGCCACAGTTCAATTCGGCATTAACAACAGAATACTATGTATACATTTGAATACGAATTGGTAGAGGTTAGAATTCATGTGCCATTGAATCGGGTCCCAGTGGCTGAATGGTACAGAAGCCAGCTTGCCTTGTAGACCGGAAGGTCCTGGGTTCGAACCCTCTGTGGGGCGGGGGTTGGTACTGCCGATGATTCCCAACCAACCATAGAAAATTCAATTTCATGTCGGTGGTGTTAACCGAAATCACACGCTCAGTGATTGGCTAGCGAATATTAACTGTAGAAATATAAACAGCGGTTTGATCAATGAAAAATATCCGTTTGCTTCTGTGTCTTGTATTCTGTTGTTACATTTGGCATCGCTACCTGCCCACAAATGGAAAGCCTATACCCTACAGTTTTTGTTGGAGACATATGGATCTTTGGGCAGGACTTCGAGACTGTTACGCAGTTGAGTGGTGTTCAAGATCCGTCATTGGTGAGGCTGTTACTTGGAACGCTGCTAGGAGGTCAGACGACGGCAGCATATGATAGTGTGAGGTGAAACACCGGCGAACATGAACCGGGGACATGCAAACTGCTCCCAAAGTTTGAAGGACCATACATGGTTACTGTGAGACGGCGTCACGTATATACGATGAGAAATGCAAATAAAGAGGAGCGGGTGAACATCAGCGAGCTCCGGAACTCGATACAGCAAGACAAGCGAACATAGCCGCCAGAACCAATAAGATCTAACCGACTTCAGTTGAAAGTTTTTGACGGGGGGGGGACGAGTGTGGTGGTGGGATACAGACAATGTGTGCCAACGGAATATTATCCTCACATGTTTCTACAGTTCAATACAACACTGGTAACAGAATACTATGTATATCTGAATATTCTATTTCTTGTCGTATGATGTTAACCGAAATCACATGCTCAGTGATTGGTTATCGAATATAAACTGTAGATATATTAACAGCGGTTTGATTAATGAAAAATATACCTTTGCTTCCGTGTCTTGCCTTTTGCTGTTACAACAGTAGAAGAGAAATTATAAAACTGTGGATAGTTGTCTTAATGTGACCTTCATCCTTCTTTAGCTTATGATAATATTGTATAGTACAAACAGCCTGTTCATTGCCTACCGCCTACACATTTATAATATACACATAATGGGATGCGTTCTTGTATTTATCGATTACACCTACACCATATTAGAGTGGTGTTAATTCCCTTTGAAAGGAATGTGTTCACACAATTCACCTACTTTTTTAGTTTAGCGAAAAAAAATAAACCCAGAGGAACACAATGGTTATGTAACACACTTTGATTTTGTCAAACATGCTGAATATTTCATCATGGATGAATATTTTTGTGGGCGTTTTAAACAATTAAATTTTGAATACCTAGTGAAAAGAAGGATTTTTAAATGCCATATAAAAAGTATTTAGATGAACGATTCACCATGGGTAAAACACCGAAGTATTTTATAGACAGAGATACTGCATGAAGACAAAATGTTTGTTGTGATATTGGCTTCAACAGGGAGTGATAAGGGGGAAATGCAAGATAACGATTGTTTCTAAGACTTTTTAGAGTCGGGTTTCTAATTATTCCATTATATTATGTTGATTGGAGTATTTCATCATGAGATGACATCAGTTAGAGAACCATTGGAAAACATGCAAAGATAACTGCCAGACAGCTGTTTCCTCCGTCCTAGTTCGGGACTCTTCAGCAGCATGCACTAACCACAAGAGGTTCGAATCCAGGACCTTCTGGATACAAAACGAATTAGCTCGTAGACCATAAAGCTACTGGAAACTGATCCAGTGACCAGTCCATGAATTCAAACTTGTGCCAATTAATGGTATAGCGCAACCACTTCGCAGTGTCTTCTTTGTATGAGTTACTGCCTCACCAATGGTTTTCTAACTGATGTCACCTCGTGATGAAATCCTACAACCAATCAAAATAAAATCCCTTCCTAACCAATACTTGGAAATTCCACTGATGCCCACTATGGACTGGCCCTATTCAGGCAGTGAACTGGTGTTCTAGTGAGAAGCCGTGACCAGTAGGGTGCAACAGGTTGAAGGTGAGAACAGTTAATCATCGAAGACACTGCTAACTGGTCGCGTTATGTCATGAATTGGCAAAAGTTAGAATTCATGTACTGGCCATCGGATAGGGTCCAAGTGGCTTAATGGTCTACGAGCTAGCTTGCCTTGTAAGCAGAAGGTCCTGGGTTCGAACTATCGCGGTGGATGCGTACTTCTGAAAAGTTACCAACTGGGACGGAGGAAACAGCTGTCTGGCTGTTATCTTTGCATGTTTTTCAATGGTTCTCTAACTGATGTCAGCTCATGATGAAATCCTTCATCCAATCAAACAAAATGCCTACGAAACCAATACTTGAAAATGTTATATTATATAATCATTCATTTTTTGAGTTGTGAGTAGAACATAAGGTTTCAAAAGTACGTCACCGCCACATTTAATTCTCTGAGATCGCTTTCAGCTGGATCTATAACTATTCTCAATATTTTATGGCCTTTTCACGCGATCTTTAACATGTCACACTTGGATTGACGCCCAACGCGTCTCTTTGTATTCAAATTCTACTCAGGGACCTAGCTTGTGATGTCACTCAACGGTCTGCTCAAATAATGCACATTCTATCTTTATACTATTCTACACCACTAGGACCCACTCTAGCCGATATTTTACTTGCGAAACTAGAAAACGGGCCTTTAAAAGATTTTATTGGTGAACTTGAATTCTATTGTCGGTACATGGATGATACATTTTTGATTATGAAGAATGAACATGAAGCAGAGAACATCCTGTGCAAATTTAACGATGTTCATACTCAAATATATTTTACTATTGAGAAAGAAAAAGACTCTAGTATTTCATTTCTAGACGTCCTTATGACCAGAAAAGAGGATGGCACAATAAGAAGAAGTGTATTTAGAAAACCTACATCAACTAACTGGTCAGCATACTCATTTTTCAGCTTCGTGCCTTTGAAATACAAACTCAGTCTGATAAAGTGCTTGGTTCACAGAGCAAGAGCAATCTGCTCGGATGAATGTCTTGATGAGGAACTTAATAATATTAAACGGTTGCTGAGTGAAAATGGTTATCCAGAAAAGTTCATTGATAAGAATATGAATCAAAAATCAAGGCAGCCCAAGGTACCAACAGTTCCTGAAAAGGTCTTATTCTTACAAATTCAGTTCCTCGGGGATAACATCAGCGTGATACTAACACAACGCCTTAGAAATGCGGTAAAAGAGCATTCCCTGCTGCTGAATTACGCTGTGTCTTCAAAACCACTCCTATTTTGCATTCGGGAGTAAAAGATAAACTGCCTAATTTCGCCTCTTCCATGTGTATCTACCAATTTAACTGCTCCTGTGGAGCCAGTTAGTTGCATAGGCCGTACAATTAGGCGTGTTTCTCGTCAGATTTCCGAACATCATCCTGCATGGTTAAGTAAAGGACAAACAAAATCTATTCGTAGCGCTATTCTATCTCATCTTGTGGATGCAACAGAACACAAGATTGATGTCAACGAGGTGGCTTTCAAAGTCATTTACCGCATACCAACAAATCTTAACTTCGCCTTAAGAGTTCGTTTACTAAATATTGCTGAGGCTGGCCGTTGGGATCTACATTAAGAAGCCTAATTTATGTGTCCAAAAGAAGCTAGTTCAGACATTGTCCTTACCTTGGCCATCTAGGTTCGAATGATCCTCAATTTTTCGTAGAAATTTCCTTAATTTTAGTTGATATTCTATTTGCTATTATATCTTTATTATTATTATAATTTAAGCATCTTTAATGAACTGTAATTCCGTTGATCTTACTTAACAAATCGATGTTATTTAAAAAACACTAATATTGTTATTGACTACTAATCTAGAATATTCTGTGTATATAAACATATATATAATTGTAAAGCCAGAAGAGGAATTTATCGAAAAGGATATTCTTTGCTCAATTATTCTGTGTTTTGTAAAATTAATTCTGTTACTCCAAAGAAAAATTCTTAGGAGTGTCCCACGTCTCTGTATGTAACTTATACTCTTCTTCAACCAAACAATCATACATTAGTGTTGTGTTCTCAGTCCTGTCACAGTTAACCACACTTTTCAACTTCTCCGGTTCAGTTGACTTTCCAACATCAACTGTTGTACTGCTCACATACTTCATTGTCACTACATGGGCAATGAGAGTTGAATACTTGAGATGCCTGAAAATCAATCCCCTTTTTTTGTAATGACTGCATGTCACAAACGTGTTATTAGGAATAGTATATTTGTAATCACGACTTACTTGTATTGGTGCTTCTCCAGCTTGTGAAGCATCTACAGTAAAGTGTGCTGGTTGTTGAGCTCGTGCACCTCTTGGCTCCAAGCCTGGACCATAACATCGCACACGTGTTGGATCAACAACATCACGAATAGGTACTTGGAATGGACTACCTGTTATTGAAAAAGTATTAAGTATACCAGAAAATCAATCCAAGCATTAAAGAAAGTGATGTATAAGTAGTATATTTCAGTGGACTATCTTATTTAAGCATAGATTTGAAGGCGCCAAACACATATACATTCACATAACCCGTAATACAACCTAGTACGACCTATGAGCGATACGAACCTAATCCACTAACGAAAACTGCTATAATCCTTAATCACAATGTCGATTCCCACCACCATTAACACCACAGTGACAACATCAAAATACCACCGCCAAAACAAAAAAGAAGATAAGACCATTCGTTGATGACAAGAGAGCTTTTACTGTCTCAAACAACAGTCAACACAGTTTAAGTCGATGATGAATATATGCATAGTCTTCAGGTGAAGCCGAAGAACTCTAAATTCATTGGTAAGTCTACACAGTTGGCAACTAATGCCAGTCGGAAATAACAAGGTGATATGAGCCTGTAATAAGTGTAAAATAGACTTATTTTAAGATTCTAAGCAAAAATTGTGGGCAAAATTGTAGGATTAAATGGGTCAATTGTGAATGCGGTGCGGGTTAGGCTTCCTAGTTTATACGCTTCTAAACGTCGCTTAGTTTCCTAGACTGAAGCCCTATGTTACACTCGGAATGCTAGCAGTCACTAAACAGAAAAAGTAAACCCAGTGGTCTAATGGATAACGCTTTGTCGTTTGAAACTGTGTGCACCGGGTTCGAGCCCCACTGGGGAATGCAGGTACATCCAGATGACAACTTCGAAATAGGATGAAATGTGCATCCTGAATTCCACTGCTGGTCACCATCCATCAAATAACTTCAGAAAATAAGGGTTAATTATTTTTCCTTTGGGTTCCAAGTGGAACACACGTCTTCAGAAGCACATTTCAATTTTCCTGTGTTCTTTGCAGTCCATTTTGTCTGGTTCTACGGTTACCCATCAAACTTCATTTTTTTCCTCACACGATTTCCACCATTTCATACCTGGACTGACATCCTACTCGTCTTCTCCCATCTGGGTTCCACTCAAAACCTCTGGGCACGATCCTATTCAACAATCTTCTTGGTGTATATTAGATCCATCTCCTCCTGCACATTCGTTGGGTAATAGGTTCTTGATAGGTTACTTGCTACAATTCCCTGTTGATTATCCTATCTTGCTATCTGATATTCAAGACAGATGTTGATCAAAGTCTGCAGTTTGTTGAAAAGTATTTTGGTGACGCGCCAAATCTCTGAACCCTGTATAAGCACTAAATTGATATATCAGTGTTGAACATTCGAATCTTGTTCCTTACGCTTAGCGCAGTAGATTTCCACTTTGATTTCAGAACAATGAATATCTATCTTGCTTTCGCGATCCTAGTTAATTTCGACGTCCTTATCCGTACCACCTTTAGATGAAAATGATGCTGCATAGGTGACGTAAGTAAAGGAGACTATTTTCTTTAGATTTTCCCTGTTTTCACATATTACACACACATTTAGTGTAATTTGGTTGATGTTGCTGCTAGGAGCTGAATTCGAGATGAACGTTTCGCCCTATTTGAGACTCATCATCTGATTGATGCTGCATCGCTGATAAGTGATTGTTTTTTTCTTCCTGATACTCAAACGTGGTC